ATTTGTTTGTTTTTGTCAATATTATGCTAAAATATACTTTGCTCAACTATATTTAAGTTCCCTAAGAAGAGCCAACTTTCAATTTTGAAAATTCCCAGTTTATTCCCATAAATTCCCGTTAATTCCCGTTTATTCCCATTAATTCCCGTTAATTCCCATGGAAAGTTTCCATCTTTGAAAATTCCGGGAATTTTGCAACCCTAGTGCTGTCTGGCAAAGTTCAAGAAGTTTATTCTGCGCTTATTGTTGAGCAGAGGTTAGAGGTACCTTAATTTGTTCCCCTTAGTTTGGTTGCTAAGGTCTTTTGTGCAACCGTTAAGGGATTCCTTAAGTATAAGACCAAGATAAGGAGAAAAACTTATATACTTAAGAGAAAATTTTAAGGAAACCTTTAGGAGGAGACTTAAGGGTGTTTTTTAAGGAGACCTTAACTTGAACTTTAAGGAAAATCTTAACTTAAGGTGTTTTGTACAACCAGCCCCAGGTATAAAAAAGATCTGAATGTTTTGGTGGACACCCTGTACCGTTCTTCTTAGTAAAATCTGTTTTGGTGATCAACTGTAGAAGTTGATTTTTCGTGGTGGGAGTATTGCATCTTAGTGTATTTGTGATGCTTTGCTCTGTGACTGTGTTGTGTTGTAGGACATTCCAGTGACGGTGGTGGGTAATTGATCCCGTTTCTGCCATCGGTGATTGGGTGCACGGCTGTATAAAGGGGTGCTGTTCCCTTGAAGATGGCTGCGCTCTTCCATTAGTGATGCTCCGCCCAGTCTCGTTCCGTCATGACCATTTGCTGCTTGTGTGAGAGACAGACATGGCTTTGTGTCTTGTTTTTGTTATTTGGTCTTTTTTTTCCGTCTTTTGTAATACGAGCCAGTATTCATATTTATAATAAACCTTTTGTTTTACTGATTATTTTTGTTTGTCGTGTGTTGGAGGTTTTTCGCCATGTCTTAAGGTGTCCTATCCCTAAACTGGCACTTAACACTAGTAAATACACAACTACCTGGAAACAATTTAACAGAGAGGCCAAAATCATCAGGAGACAATATACAACAGAAGGGTATATTTACTCTAAACATCCCAGAGAAAGCTATGCTATGCCAAGCTGTACACAAGTTCATTCTGGTCCTCATGGGCAGTCAAACCTCAGAGAAGCTCATTGCTCTTCTAGCTGCACACTGGCCCAGGTGAACCCTAAGCACACCTTGGCTGTGAAGCCGCAGCAGGTGCCTGAATTCGGCAGGCATATTGTGGACCGTCCGCATACTCTGCTGGTTGTCGTAGTAATGGTTTGTGAGAGTCTGCTGAGTGTCAGGGTGCAGCAGATACGGCCAGAAACCATACAGCCTCACTTCGCTGCACAGCTCCAGTGCCAGGCTGGCCACAATCAGCCCGCTGCTGGGCCGGGGGACCTGAAGGCCCTGATCTTTCCAAAACTGAGCCAGGCTCCGCAAGTATGATGGGCTGAAGAAGACAGTCCGTGTGGGGCTTTGGAACTCCTCTAGCGTGTAGGCAGCACGCAGTGACACAGCCATGTTGCGCGTGTAAGAAAATGCAGGAATCAGGAGCAGGGCATCCCCATAGCTAGCCATGCTCTCCACAAAGGGCCGGCGCCTTTCTGTGAGTCCCTCAAACCTTTAGATGGTTGGCAGATAGAAGAGGAGCAAAGAAGGCAAATTAGTGCTGCAGAAACCTACACTAACCTGTGAAGGGCCTTAGACAATATAGGAACACCATACATTCGATTAGACTCTATGGAGTGGGCAAGAGGGACATTTTAGTTTACAGTGATGCTGCCCCACTCCTTTGACTCACTTTTCCAGAAGGATGCTGGGATTGGCTGTCACAAGGTTTGTTTTGTTGCCGACATGTTTCTTGAAATCCTTACCAAGAGGAGGGAGGTTGCACCTGTGTCAGGCCAAAGAAGCACACTTGTACTGAGTGCTTTCTGTACTGAATGGTAGCATAATGTAACCCCAAGTTGGGGAGGGGGGGAAAAGAAAACTTACCTGAAGACAAACTGGGCAGAGTCTATCTCCTGTCCGCAGCTGCTGTTGCTGAGAATACCGCCGTTTCCAATGACGGCACACGTCTCCCATGTCACATTCCCAAATGGTGATTCCTGTGACAGCCACCCACTAATTCACACCACCACCCTGAGAATGCATTTCCATTTGCACAATGCTCCCTTATGAACACAACTATCACAGGTGCAGAATTAAATAAAAATAATAAAAATATGAAAAAAACATAATACAAGAGAGAAAAAAAATGTTGAGTCAGTTAAACTAACATGACATATATTCACTTTCCAGCCACTTTTCCTGGCCAGTGTGGGGGGAGGGGGGATGGAGAATTCAAACCCCCAATACTAGAGCTGTAAGGCAATAGTGCTAACCACTAAACCACCATGCCCCCCATGATAACACATTGCATCACAAAAATGTAAAACCCATTATAATTATTCTTTTTTGGTGCATGTGTGATCATGCCAACACAGTAGCAAATGCATACAGAATGACAGCTGACCCCCCACCCCAATCAACACATACCTTAACAAAGATGCTGAAGAGTTTGCGTGTTACTTCTTCCATCTTTGCTTTTTCACCATCATATATGACCTTCTTTCCGACTGGGGTGTTCGCCTGGGTGATGATGGCTTTGGATACTGCGTTGCATTTGTTGGTCAGGTTAGAGCTGGTGGATAGGCATTTCTGAGGTCATGTTTATGGCCTCAAAAGATGGTTTGTAAGTCACACTGGTAGCGGCTGGTTTTGTTACAGTCTGTAACAGCAACAAATTTAGCATTCGAAATACTAATGAGCCTTAATGCAGTTACGTTTCAGCCTTATGGCCCAAGACTCAATACTACTTTAGGATTGGGTATTAATTCGGTAGGGAAGAAAATGTTTCTCCTCTATTTATCATGTTACCCATTATAGAATTTCCCCTACCGAAACTCAGCAGAGTGATCCTCCTTTTTACTCCACCAAGGATTGTACATCTTCATCAAGTCCCGCTCAGTCGCGACAGTTCTACAAAGTTTGGAGAAAATGGAAATGCAAAGCAAGATTTCCAGCTTGAGTGAGGTATTTAAGGCAAACCAGAACAGACTTGACACGTTTGAAAAAAATGCATTAGTTCGTGTACAAAATTTGGTCAACGAACAGATTCTTTGACCAGATTCCTTTTTTTATAACAGTGTAGCATCGGCGGGGCACATGTCCCATCATGCCTCATGTGAAATTGTAAATAGAAGGACCACAACAGGCAACCAACGAGCACCGAACCGAAATACACAGACGGGAAACACAAGGTTGTCACACACCAAACTGCAAGATGCACACATGGTGGAAGATTTACACAGGCTAAATACACGCAAGGATTAGACCAGGTACACACAAGACATGGGCAAACACACACGCGACAATAGGGAAACGCAACCATTAACATTAACATTAACAACAACAACAATACAAGGGTTAAGGACTGTTAATAAAGAGCGCGATTTCCCCGGCAAGCAAGTTTCCATGTCTCTCTCTGCTCCCACGATGCCTCGGTCTACCCGTCACCACACTATATTGTGTTTTTCTTTTAAGTTTTTACTATAACAACCCAAAAATTAATTAACAAAAATCATTTGGTAGGCTTGTGAACAAATGAATCGAATTTCAATGCTTTCTTATGGGGAAAATTGCCTTGGTTAGCGTACAAATTGGTTCATGACCACTTTCCTGGAACGGATTGTGTTCATGAATCACAGGCACCAATGCGTGTGTGTGTGTGTGTATATATATATATATATATATATATATATATATATATATATAT